CATGTCACCACGGTCGCGGCTTTCAGCGGCGACATCAGTACGGTCAATCCACTGTGGCACACCGCAATCTTGACCTCGTTGCGAGAGTGGACGGAGTGGTGTCCAACGTGTGGCAGCACGGTCTTGCCCGACCAGGGCACTATCTCATCCCGACCTTTGCACCTGATCTTGATGGGGTCCGCCTCTCTCCGCGCGAGCGAGCGGTTGCGATCCCCACCCTCTTTGCTTTCCCGCGCCCCCGATGAACCGCGTCACACCCTCGCTCCTCTTTCCATCTTCGGTCTTCCCTCTCTTTTTCCTACCTTCTGGCAGTCCGATCTTCATCCTCATCGTCCCCTCTCGATCGAACCCCTTCCTCGTGTCGCTTCTTAATCCCGGGCACTGGCAACTTTGGCGCGAGACCTTTGTCGAACTGTCCATATGTTTGGCTTGAGTGCAGGTGACGTGGACGCGGACCAGCGAGCATCCCGCGTGTTTCGAAAGTCTGGAATTACTGATCATACAAGCTTGGAGGACTAGCTTGGAGGACTAACGTGGAGGGTGATCTCCTTGGTTTTCTCTTCGGATCGGTGCAGCCGGGACATCGCCAGCTAATCGCGCAAGAACTCATCACGCCGATCGTGCAATTGGCGGACGATCTCTCTCCTGACATCGTTTCGCAAAGCGACGACAGCCCCGCTCCACACGTACTCACGCGAACGTTGGATCCGTATCTCCTGACATTGTTTCGCAAAGCGACGACAGCCCCGCTCCACACGACAGCCCCGCTCCACACGTACTCTCTACCGTCGCGGCAGGTGTATTTGAAGCCGTACGGCATCATCGATCACGCTTTCTATCCGAAGGCAGAGGAGGTGGTAATAGAAGGGGAGGAAAGTGACGACGACGAGGAAACATCGGAAGAGGGAAGCTATAGCGAGTATAGCGAGGGTGAGCAGAGCGAAGAAGGTGAAGAAGAAGAAGAAGAAGAAGAAGAAGAAGAAGAAGAAGAAGAAGAAGAAGAAGAAGAGGAAGAGGAAACCGGGTCTGAGTGGGAAGCCTTGCCGGAGGAAGCGACGCGTACTGGCATGGAGACGAAAGATCCTGAGGCAGCGCGCAAGCGGGAAGAGATTGCCACCAGGAAACACCAGTTGGAGTTCGCCAGCGGGGCAAGCCTGCGCATCGGTGACGATCCAACCAGGGATCCGGAGCCGCTAAAGCCCGAAGATGGCGACCCAGCAGCCGCCACCCCAAGCACCTCACGGAGGAGACGAAGCTGATCCTCCCCCTCCAGCCCCACCCGTCCCCCAGTTCGTCCACGTACCGATGCGGGGGATAGGCCTTCGTCCCCGGACATTATCCCGCCGTCCCCTTGATTACCTCACCCTCGAGCAGATCCACACTCCCGTCAGTTTCCCCCGCCACCCCTTCCATCCCCATCTCTTCCACGATTTCTACTATACGCGCCTAATCGCTACCGTTTACCCCCACCGCTCCCTTCAGCCCGCTGCCCCCACGTTCTGTCTGCATATCCTGTTGTTCAGCGCTGCGTGTGCGCAGTGCAACGTAGTAGAAGTCTACTACGTAGCCACGGGGACGATCCCCGCTTGTCGCCACTTCGATTTCTTTCTCGCAGCGTTCTTCCGCACCCTCTCCTCCCTCTACCGCGACTACCTCGCCTCTCTCCCTCATAGCGGTGATCGCTTGAATTCGCTTCCCTTGTTTTCACCGGATCATTCGCTATGAGGAACTTCCAGTGACAGTAGAAGGGTTGAATCGCTACCTACCCCCACTTCCTCCCCGTCGTCCCTGCGGACTTCCCTCCATGTACCGCCTCTACTGGCCCATTCCAACAAGGTGGTAAAACCCAATCACCTGACTACCCCCCCCCCCCTCCTCCCTTCACCCAATCGATAGGGGAGAACGACACGAATCAGTAAGCCTCGCAAAGATCACGCCATCGCCGATGACGTCAACCTACGCTCTGGTTCAACGGGCCGCGACGAGCCGGGGTGCAGAGCACAGGGAGAACCAGCGGACAATGATGGCGTCACCTGGATGACCTCCGATGATTCCAGCAGCACGAGCCAATGGACTCACGAAGAGATGGCAATTGAAGTTGGCGTCAATATGAACTTTGGCTCGATTATCTCCTTGGTTCCTCATGCATCACTCTTCCCCCTCCTTCCTTCTCCGCTGTGACATGCAATCAGGAGATCGCATAATTTTGGAACCCCCTGCTCGTCACATATGTGACGAACTACTTCCCGAACCCGTGCTATCTTTGGTACCCCTTTGGTTTGAATTTTCTTGTATCATACCGACCCTGCAAGCACCCCGTTTGTTTTCTTGATTTCGGGCGCCGCATTTTAGGCCCCCATCTTCTGGAAGCTTTTGTGATTCTTCGGTTCTGCTTTTTCTTTTGCAATTCGGGAAATGCATAGGAATTTACGCGCGCCTTAGCGAGCGCACAGGGAATTGGGTCCGACAGTAGAGAATTCCGGGATAAGCGGAACTTCGACGTGTCCTTTTTGTGTGTGAATATTCTCGATCGCGTTGGGGAAAACTCTCGGAATTTTGTGAGAATACGAGTAGGCGTAGGACTTTCTTTTCCCGCATCGTCCTTTTCGCGCGCGGATATGGTAATTTCAATTTTGAATTGGTTTAGGACGTAGGCAAACTGTAACTGGTTCGGTGCCTTTTTCTTTTCCTTTTTGTTGACGGCGTCACGGATACGAAGCTTTCTTCCC